CTCATATACATGACCTCCTCTTTCTTTTGTTAGTGCTCAACCCTCCTGAGCACCGTCCTCCTAGTCCACATCCCAATGTCACTTTACCCGTGCTCCTCGTCATCACAATCATCACAAGAAACGTCGTCATCATGCCCTCTTCTCCCGGCTCACCCTTCGCCATCATTCCTCGCATTCGCCGTCCGCCTCCATCCCCGCCTCCTCCTCCTCCTCATCATCTGAATACATCCATCCTCTTCCTCCACATCATTCACATCGCTTCCGACACCAACACCAAACTCTCCATACACCAGTGCAGTGCGTGACCGTCCATCCTCTTCAACCTCATCATCCTCGTCATTATCCTCATCGTCATTATTCTCCTCATGCTCATTGCCCTCCTCATCCGAATTCTTCTCTTCGTCCTTCTCCTCCTCGTCATCTGCATCCGCTTCATGTTCCTCTCAATCCTCCTCATCCTTCTCATCTCCTCGTATTCCGCATCCGCTTCATCGTCCTCCTACTATTCCTCTGCCTCCGCATCCGCTTCCTCATCCGTTTCATCACTACCATCCTCATCACCATCATCATCATCATCATCATCAGCAGCATCATCATCATCATCAGCAGCATCATCATCATCAGCATCATCATCATAATCATCATCAGCAGCATCCTCATCCTCATCATCATCATCATCATCATCATCATCATCATCATCATCATCATCAGCAGCAGCAGCAGCAGCAGCAGAAGCATCAGCATCATCAGCAGCACCATCATCAACAGCATCATCAGCATCATCAGCGTCATCATCAGCAGCAGCATCAGCGGTATCAGCATCCTCATCAGCAGCATCAGCATCATCATCATCATCAGCATCATCATCATCATCATCATCATCATCATCATCATCATCATCATCATCATCATCATCATCATCATCATCATCATCATCATCATCAGCATCATCATCATCATCATCATCATCATCATCATCATCATCATCATCATCATCATCATCATCATCGTCATCATAATCAGCATCGTCAGTATCAGCATCAGCATCAGCAGTAGCAGCAGCATCAGCAGCATCAGCATAAGCATCAGCATCATCATCAGCAGCATCAGCAGGATCATCAGTATCATCCTCCTCATCATCATCATCATCATCATCATCATCATCATCATCATCATAATCTGCATCATCTGCATCATCATCATCATCATCATCATCAGCATCATCATCATCATCGACAGCATCAGCATCAGCATCAGCATCAGCATCAGCAACATCATCATCAGAATCATAATCAGCATGATCAGCAGCATCATCGTCAGCATCATCAGCAGCATCACCATCATCATCATAATCATCATCACCATCATCATCATCGTCATCATCATCGTCAGCAGCATCATCGACATCGGCAACGTCACCTTCATCAGCATTATCAGCATCGTCATCTTCATATTCAGCATCATCATCATCATCATCATCATCATCATCATCATCATCATCATCATCGTCATCATCGTCGCCATCGTCATCGTCATTATCAGTACCATCATCAGCATCATCAGCAGCATCAGCATGATCAGCATCAGCAGCATCATGATCATTATCTGCATCATCTTCATCATCATCATAGACATCTTCATCAGCACAATCATGATCATCATCATCATCATCATCATCATCATCATCATCATCATCATCATCATCATCATCATCATCATAATCAGCATCATCATCAGTATCATTATCAGCATCATCATCAGCATCATCATCCGCATCAGCACCATCATCATCATCATCAGCAGCAGCATCATCGTCATCATCTTCATCATCATCAGCATCAACATCACCATCATCATCATCATCAGCAGCAGCAACAGCTGTAGCAGGCAGCAGCATCAGCACCAACAGTATCAGCATCCGCATCAGCATCAGCATCAGCACCAGATTCATCATCGTCATCATCAGCATCATCATCAGCATCAGTATCATCTCCATCATCGGCACCGTCGTCGTCATCATCATCATCATCAGCATCAGCATCAGTATCAGAATCACCAGCATCAGCATCATCATAATCATCATAACCATCAGTAGCATAATAATCAGCATCATCATCATCATCATCGTCATTATCACCATCATCCGAATCATCCTAATCATCGTACGAATCATCATCATAACCATCACCAGCACAATTATCATCACCATCACCATCATCATTGTCATCAACATTGTCATCAGCATCATCATCATCATCAGCATCATCATCATCATCATCATCATCATCATGAGCATCATCATCATCAGAATCATCGTCCGTTGCTCCTTGTTCCCCCCCTATCATCCATCGATCGTGCGCATCCTCACCACCGCGACTCAGCAGCCTAATCTTCCTCACTTCCCACCGAGAGTTCGTCCACACGTTTCCACATCCGTGTCCCATCCTCCAACTCGCCACCATCATCATCATCGTCACTCGTGACTCCCCCCATCCCCGTC